AACAATGTACAATTTACTAGGTCTGTTCTTCTCCGTAATAGTTAATAATATACAATTTACTAGGTCTGTTCTTCTCCGTAATAGTTAATAATATAAAATTTACTTGGTCTGTTCTTCTCCGTAATAGTTAACAATATAGTGTTTAAACAATTTACTAGATCTGTTCTTCTCCGTAATAGTTAACAATGTACAATTTACTAGGTCTGTTCTTCTCCGTAATAGTTAATAATATAAAATTTACTTGGTCTGATCTTCTCCGTAATAGTTAATAACATCCTAGACTACAAATGCCAGAGCTATGTATTTATATTAATTTCTGTAACTGGTTCTATTATTATCATTTGTGTAGAAATTCTGTTTACCCGAAGTAATCCTATATATTAGCTTACTTGATTACATTTTTCCCAATGTAATTAGTTAAATCGTTAAAATTATAATCATAACACTGATGTTAAAACTTATAAATTTTAACAAGTTATCTAAATCTCTGCGGAAAGCTTTTAACTGGTCACAGTTAATTATCAGTAAGTTGTTATATTGGTTAAATTAATCAACAACAGTAAAAACTGATATATACCAATAGCGTGGTTTGTGTTTAAAGTTAACAAAACAGGGTACGTTTTACCCCTCCCTTAAGTGGGTGTTAAACCCAGTAAATTGTTATTAATTTAAAACAATGTTTTGGTTATTAAATTAAATCGTTAAGAAACAACAAAATTTCATGGAGGGAAGCACTCACCAGGAGAAATAAAAAACGTTTTAAGTAGGTCAGTGTCCGCTAGGGCATAAATTTCTGAAGTTATGTTAAGCTTTCTTCCGACTACAGGTGGCGCCCTACGAAATCCTAATATTCTGTAAAAAAGACGAACATAAATAGCCAATTATATAAATATGATATAAAGTACAATAATATAGAGAAACTCCCAGACCTAGTAAATTGTATGTTATTAACTATTACGGAGAAGATCAGACCAAGTAAATTTTATATATTATTAACTATTACGGAGAAGAACAGACCTAGTAAATTGTAGTGTCACCGCGTCAACCCATGGGGTCAACAGAAATTGCTATTTTATTTCACTTTCATGATTCTCATTTTGATGTGTCGTGTTCTGTTAATCTATATGGAATGTTGTTGTTTTTTATCGAGCTAGTAGTAACTATAACAACTTGATTTATAATAAAAACTTACTGGTCTCACCAGAACCTGATTTATTAAGAAAAAAATAAACGTTTCAAAAATTCGACAGAAATTTGTCATATTCTCCTCATCATCTGAAAATGTTCCTTAAGCGATAACTCGTCGCTTGATTATAAAGCAACATTCAAAGGTTTGACAAAGGAAAAACTCTGAAGGTTTTTATTCTACACACGATAAATATTCTTGATAACTGTCATTTGCCGCTGCATCACGAAGGCTCTGCTTTATGACGATGTCAGCAAAATGAAACATGATTGGTCAGATGCTAGACTGAAGAAGTAAAAATAGAAGTTATTTCTAAGATGACAAAGGATGAAACTTCGAGTGTGGCCGTCATTACCCTAAATTCAATAAAGTGAAATATAAAAATATTTGCTTTTTTTACAACCCCCTACTGTAAGTATAATTTATGATGGAAAACTTATTGCCCCCCCCCCCCGTGTGCATTAAACACTCTTCCCATCAGGCACGACATCTCTTACCCAACGGTCCCCAGTGGCTCATATCGCTAAAAACCGGGTTCCGATACCCAGGGTGGGCACAGCATTGATAGCCCATTGTGTAGCTTTGCGCTTTACAAACAAACAAACTTATTCAGTAAGTATATCATTGTTTTTCCTGCACGTGACTGTAGAAAAAAAAATATCACGTGATAACATACGATCGAATTGAATAACTTGTGAATCGTGTGTTGACATATTCCCCAATTAACTAGAGATTAGTACTGGCTATACATATTTTACAGACAAGCCCCCTACAGATGGCTAGAGATTAGTACTGGCTATACATATTTTACAGACAAGCCCCTACAGATGGTATAAACGGAACTAATGGTGTTTTATATATAAGACAAAGTGTAATCGGAAGTAATATTACGTAATTTACACTATATACTGGCACTTGGTGGTGTCCTTATATTTCTAAAAACGTTTCCCTTTACTTTGCGTCCAAACCTCCATTGAAGAACGTGCTCAACAGCTTGACCCTTAAGATGTATTAATCTAGCTTTAAGAACTATTTTCTAGAGTGTATCAATACACTGTGTTTGTTGATACTGGATACTGTGTTAGTTCAGAAAGTTAGCGATTTTTAACACGGAGTATGACTTTTTTTTTTTACTCAGCAGACAAATTTTCTTATTGCCCTGCGTTTCATTTATTAATATGAAATAAGTGAGCTAAAGAACTTATGACACTAAAATTTGGGGTTTGATTCCGCGGTGGCACAGCACAGATTGTGCGGGTCAGTGATTAGAAATAAACAAAATCCATACTTTATGAAAATTATTTTATTAAATATTTTTTTTATTCCAGTTTTATTGTTCAATGATTTGCTAAAGAGTCCCCCCAGGCGGGACAGCGGTGAGTCTGCAGACTTACAACGATAAAATCGGAGGTTCAGTTAACCGCAGTGAACATAACAGATAGTCCAATGTGACTTTGCTCTAAAAACAAACAAAGAAACTTCTGAAGTTTAACATAAACAGATAATAATGTCGAGTTACACTTAAAAATGTAAAGACATTGGATTAACAATTCTTGGAATAACCGACCACCAAACAAAAGTTGAAATATTTGTTGTACATTATTAGGGTGATTAAATTTATTCATAATTAAAAAAGAAGATTTTTACAAACCTTGTGAGTTTGTTTCATTTTCAGGGACACATTTTGAAAAAAGATTGGCTCATTTTTTTATTTTAAACTTGTTATTTAATTAATTTATAGTTGTATTGTTGGATTATCTTTTGATAAAATCCGAGAAAAAATTAGTAATGTACAAACTCGGTAATTCGGTCAATCGGACTACATAACAAGATTGGCCAGTTTTGTTTTATCTACAAGAAAATCTGTCAATAGAATAAAGAGAACACATCCTATTACACTTTGCTAAAAAAAAATGTTGCCTTGTTACCAGCAGTGCAATATAAGCAAGGTCTGTTGTTTACTTTGTTTGTTGTAACGCAAGATTTACACCCATGCTACTAAGTTATGTAGAAAAGCTCGACGTCCTCCAGTAACACTCAAATTTACATAGGAAAGATAAACGCAACATTAATACAAAAAAAGAAAGTTCTTTTCACACTCAAACTTACTGTTCTTAAAAGAAACAAATCGCTGAAACAAAAGTAATCATAAAAAACACGCTAGCAGCAGGGTGCCCTAGTGATGATCTGAACCTTGGTAATATCGCTAAGCAGGGCAACTCTAGTCAGGTGTTCTTGGGTTAACGGCCGAAAACACCGCTAGAAGCGAAGGTACCAAACTGATGACTGGGGGCTTGATAATATCAGCTAAGCAGGCCATATCTAGTCAGGTGTTCTTGGGTTAACGGCCGAAAACACCGCTAGAAGCGAAGGTACCAAACTGATGACTGGGGGCTTGATAATATCGCTAAGCAGGCCATATCTAGTCAGGTGTTCTTGGGTTAACGGCCGAAAACACCGCTAGAAGCGAAGGTACCAAACTGATGACCTAAGTCACAGGTAAAAGTTTTTTCTAATCTGCCTGTTACACATAATTAATACTATGTATTTTTATTCTTAATTATTATTACTAAAAAGTTTTAGCAACTGCTTTGGTAGAAGTTATTGTATAATTAGATCCGGAATTTGACACCTACAAGCGGTTGCGTCATGTCGGTAAATACATACACTGTATCCATCCATATCGAAGGTGAGGTAATATACTAAATCATTAGATATAATACACCGATATTTCTAATATATCCTGGAGCTTCTTGATAAATTAAGAGTAAATATATTCACAACTAGTGGATTAGGTTAACAAAATGTTCGGTTAATATTAGAAATATAACAAATACTTTAAAACGGGTTCACACTCGGTATTAATGTTATTCTCTATGTATCTACGTCAATAAGGTATGTTTCCATAGCTACGTAATCTATATTACAGCCAACAATATTTGTTTTCATGGGAGATGTGACTACTACTGTGACACTGGCCACGCCATCTGTGGGCATCCAGACACACTTGAAGGTAGTTTTGCTGTGTATCTTCCGATAAAGAGCCTCGCTCCCAGGAAAGTATGGCGGCATCCATGGAGAAGGTCCTATCACAAGCGACGGAAAGCAGAATGGGAAAAAAATGACGACTACTGCAACGTCGTCAGGAAAAAGCCACCGTACAACGACGGAAGACGACTCGTAGATATCATGGATATGGCTGTTCTAGATTTTATAATTGGTAAAACTTCAAACCTATCCTGGTTACCAGTTCTTTTCTGTCCTGTTAACAATAAGTTAACTATTTGCTCCTGGTTTCTTTCTGTCCTGTTAATAATAAGTTAACTATTTGCTCCTGGTTTCTTTAACTTATTATTAACAGGACAGAAAAGAACTGGTAACCAGGAGCAAAGATTTAACTTATTATTAACAGGACAGAAAATATTTGCTCCTGGTTGCCAGTTCTTTTCTGTCCTGTTAATAATAAGTTAAATATTTGCTGCCGAAATAAAAATGGTTATCTGGGCTTACTTTAGTTTAATGTTTCAAATCAAATACTGATAATGATCTTTGTGGCAGCGATAACAACGGTAGTTAGAGTTAAAATTACATTTTATAAATGTTTAAAGCTGTTCTGGTTTCTATTATGAATGTTTAAAGCTGTTCTGGTTTCTATCATAAATGTTTAAAGCTGGTCTGGTTTCTATTATAAAGTTTAAAGCTGATCTGGTTTCTATTATAAATGTTTAAAGCTGTTCTGGTTTCTATTATGAATGTTTAAAGCTGTTCTGGTTTCTATTATGAATGTTTAAAGCTGTTCTGGTTTCTATTATAAATGTTTAAAGCTGATCTGGTTTCTATTATAAATGTTTAAAGCTGTTCTGGTTTCTATTATAAATGTTTAAAGCTGTTACAATCATATTTCGGATACCGTAAGTTACAGTCTGGTATTAATAGTTATCCTCATAGAAACTAGAAATGCTGAAGAATGCATTTTTATGAGGATAACTATTAATATAAGAAATCATGAACAGTGTATATTGATACTTATCCTCATAAAAATGCATTCTTCAGCATTTCTAATATTAATAGTTATCCTCTTCACGAATACATTGTTGAGGATTTGTAATATTAATAGCTATCCTCGTAAAAATACACTATTGAGGAGTTTTAATATTTATAGTTATCCACATAAAAAATACAGTGTTGAGTGTAGGATTTTTATAACTTATCAGGTGATATCACCGGAACTGGTACCTTGGAAACAGTTCCGAAAAAATAGTCCTAAAAATAATTCAAATACTAAACTAATAACCATTTTATCCGAATTTTAAAACCTTAAATAAATAAAAATATAAAACGGATATTTTGACGTTTCGTAAATATTCAAATTTGCATACATCTCCTTTGTTACAATTTACGGAACTTCGTAAAATATTTATATTATTAAGAACAACCTTTTTACCAAGATTTACGAAACGTCAAAATATTTCCGTTATTAGGAACAACTCCTCTGTCGGGGAATTACGGAGAATGTTTCATCAAATGGTTGTTTAGTTAACAAGTAAGTGTTAATTTTATTAAAATAATTAGCTAGTTTATTCTTGGAGGTTTTGATTTGGGATTTTATTCAGATTTAGTAGAGAACCATGGTCAAACTTGTGTGGAGTAGCTAGCTGGGAGTGACTTGTGACGGTAGTTAACAAGAATGACTGAAATGTAGTCATAATAACGTTAAAGTAAAGACTTTTGGATTTCCTAGAGTCACTAGTTAATTTGCATGTTTTTATTTACCCTAGTGACAATTGTTAGTTACTAAATAACATCGGTATATATCAGATGCTATGTATTGTCGTCAGATAAAATAATGTTTCAGTTTTCAAACGTCAAGTCACTAAATGATATATACATATTGTAAGGACGCTCAGATCGGCTCATGGGGGTTTTTCCTTTGTTTTCTCCAGAACAAAATTTTAGCTCATAGCTCCGTCATCTCTTGATCGATTTCAGTTTGTCTGTCTGTAGTTATGCACAAAGCTACACAAAGGGTTATCTGTGTTCTGCCCACCACGGGTATCGAAACCCGGTTTCTAGCGTTGTAATTCCGCAGACATACCGCTGTGCCACTGGGAGGCTAGTGTGGTTGAAACTGTCTTATTACACACTCATCAAATTTAAAAGCTACACGAGGGCTTTCACCGCTAACCGTCCCTAATTTAGCAGTGAAAGATTAGAGGGAAGGAAGCTAGTCATCACCACCCACCGCCAACTGTTGAGCTACTCTTTTACCAACGATTTGTTTGTGTGAAGTTAAGCACAAAGCAACACAATGGGCTATCTGTGCTCTGCCCACCACGGGTATCGAAACCCGGTTTCTAGCGTTGTAAGTCCGCAGACATGCCGCTGTGCCACTGGGGGGCGATCGATTTGAGATCTAATTATATTTTCGAGTCAAGGGGTCAAACCTTTTCGATTGATGTATCTGACCACTCCCAAGGTCTTATAAGTTAATTTATTCTAATCCTGCCTAAAAGAATTTCAAGTGCCACGGCTATTGAGGATTCTTTCCTGTTTTGTATTTTTCTTCGCTAATATTAAACATACTTTTTGTTTCTCGTCGCTAGGGAACATGGACCGCCATCACTATGAAACGTTTAAAATATTCGGAAATAATAGTTTCCCCCTCCACCTGGACCACGGAAGAGGGTAAGACACTACTTATATTTAACTTATGTTAAATCAATGAAGAAATACAAGAATATTCAATAGCCAATCAAATGTCGTCGATAACTAAAAAATAATAAATAATATTGTGTTGCGTGTTGTTAAGTATTTATCGAAGGATACTGGGGGTGCATGTTGTTAAGTATTTATCGAAGGATATCATGGTGCATGTTGTTAAATATTTATCGAAGGATATCATGGTGCATGTTGTTAAGTATTTATCGAAGGATATTATGGTGCATGTTGTTAAATATTTATCGAAGGATGTTATGGTGCATGTTGTTAAGTATTTATCGAAGGATATTATGGTGCATGTTGTTAAGTATTTATCGAAGGATATTATGGTGCATGTTGTTAAGTATTTATCGAAGGATATTATGGTGCATGTTGTTAAGTATTTATCGAAGGATATTATGGTGCATGTTGTTAAGTATTTATCGAAGGATGTTGTGGTGCATGTTGTTAAGTATTTATCGAAGGATGTTGTGGTGCGTGTTGTTAAATATTCATTGTTTTATTTATTTATTTTATTTATTGTTGTAAATGCAAATATTACGTAATTGCTTCGCCTCTATTCTACGAAAACCAACAGTGCTACAGTACACTTAAGTTTTAGTAGCTTACGCTGTGATTGGTTCTCATTAGAACCAATTACACAGTTCCACATCAGCATAAATTCTGTAAAATTACTATTTCCAGTAGTTTTGTGCTGAACGCACCTCATGTCTCTCAGGCAATCTTCTACTGAATCTACTGTTATTGTGACACTTGTGTTAATGTACTGTTTTGTGGTACCTGTGTTAATCTACTGTTTTGTGACACTTGTGTGAATCTACTGTTTTTGTGGTACTTGTGTTAATCTACTGTTTTGTGACACTTGTGTGAATCTACTGTTTTGTGAAACTTGTGTGAATCTACTGTTTTGTGGCACTTGTGTTAATCTACTGTTTTGTGACACTTGTGTTAATCTAGTGTTTTGTGACACTTGTGTTAATCTACTGTTTTATGACACTTGTGTTAATCTACTGTTTTGTGACACTTGTGTTAATCTACTGTTTTATGACACTTGTGTTAATCTACTGTTTTGTGACACTTGTGTTAATCTACTATTTTATGACACTTGTGTGAATCTACTGTTTTTGTGATGTGCATATGCTGAATATGATAAATCACAAAATAAGGTTTAATATTTCATTAAGTTCGATGATAGGAGAATACAACATTTTATTCATATCATAGGTTTGGAAAAGCCCACCACGACGAACTGTCTATTCTTGCTCCTATTTACCAATGTTGTATCATTCGTCAATCAACACTGAAGCGGTTGCTAGAGCTTCATCTAGGCCCTCTCAGACTCAGCGACATTGTACGGAAGTCGCTAAGTACCGATCCGGTCTATCCTGTTCTAACGGAGGCCCACTTAGTTGCCTTGGACCGACGACTTGGAATATGCTTGTCTACCATCCGCCAATGTTTACAAGAAAAACGACCAGACGAAGTTTTAATATATAACGATGATTAACAACGAGGCTTAGAAACAGATATGGAAAAATAAAGTGATTAGTTTGGATTCCATATGTGCTTCACGAACCTGGTACTAAACTTCTCAACGTCTGGAAATTCGTGAGTTTCGTGTGTTCGGTAAAGTTTAACGTGAGAAACTGGTTCTGGAAATTCGTGAGTTTCGTGTGTTCGGTAAAGTTTAACGTGAGAAACTGGTTCTGGAAATTCGTGAGTTTCGTGTGTTCGGTAAAGTTTAACGTGAGAAACTGGTTCTGGAAATTCGCGAGTTTCGTGTGTTCGGTAAAGTTTAACGTGAGAAACTGGTTCTGGAAATTAGTGAGTTTCGTGTGTTCGGTAAAGTTTAACGTGAGAAACTGGTTCTGGAAATTAGTAAGTTTCGTGTGTTCGGTAAAGTTTAACGTGAGAAACTGGTTCTGGAAATTCGTGAGTTTCGTGTGTTCGGTAAAGTTTAACGTGAGAAACTGGTTCTGGAAATTCGTGAGTTTCGTGTGTTCGGTAAAGTTTTTAATGAGAAAGTTTAAATAGAAAGACACTTCACACTGGTAGGTAGAAATAAATTGAAATACGTGAGCATTAAGTCACGTGACGTTCTTCTTGCACGTGCATAATAAATCCGTAAAGTTATATATTATAACGCAGCTTCAATGTTTGACTAACTTAGTGACAGTCAAAGTAACTAATAAAGCATCATATTTTACAACGGTTCTGGGAAAAGTTGTGAGTGTTTTATAATGATAGATTCTATTTAAACAGCATTTGTACGTTTTAAGAAGTACTTTAGATATGTGTTGATACTAATGTATACCTGCCAAATATTGGCTACAGATATTTTACCCTCGAGAGAAAATAAAACTTGACTTTTAGATTCGTCCTTGCCTGTTGCTGTATAAATGTTATTGCATGCTTAGAGCATCTAGCCGCCATGATGCTTGCTCTACTCGTAACAATAGTAGTCCAACGCAGTCCGTTTAGAAAGTCTGTATAATTACCCGCCAATACTTTTGTCTCCTGTGCACAACAACAGTCCAGCATATCTCGTTTAGGCAGTCCAGATAATTACCCGCCAATACTTTTGTGTCGTTTGTAAAGACGTGGTTTATTTCTTGTGCACAACAGAAGTCCATCACAGTCCGTTTAGGAAGTCCAGAAAGAACATAGTGTGAGCTAATATTTCACGTTTACAGCATACTTAACCAGCATTTCAAATGTCAAGAAACACTATAGTGATAGTGATAAACCTAATAAACTCAAGAAACACTATAGTGATAAACCTAATAAACTCAAAAAACACTATAGTGATAAACCTAATAAACTCAAGAAACACTATAGTGATAAACCTAATAAACTCAAGAAACGCTATAGTAATAGAGATAAACCTAATAAACTCAAGAAACACTAGAGTGATAGTGATAAACCTAATAAACTTAAGAAACACTATAGTGATAAACCTAATAAACTCAAGAAACACTATAGTAATAGTGATAAACCTAATAAACTCAAGAAACACTATAGTAATAGTGATAAACCTAATAAACTCAAGAAACACTAGAGTGATAGTGATAAACCTAATAAACTCAAGAAACACTATAGTAATAGTGATAAACCTAATAAACTCAAGAAACACTATAGTGATAAACCTAATACACTCAAGAAACACGATAGTAATAGTGATAAACCTAATAAACTCAAGAAACACTATAGTGATAAATCTAATAAACCCAAGAAACACTATAGTGATAAACCTAACAAACTCAAGAAACACTATAGTAATAGTGATAAACCTAACAAACTCAAGAAACACTATAGTGATAAATCTAATAAACTCAAGATACACGATAGTAATAGTGATAAACCTAACAAACTCAAGAAACACTATAGTAATAGTGATAAACCTAATAAACTCAAGAAACACTATAGTGATAAACCTAATAAACTCAAGATACACTATACAACGCAACATAATTAAAAAGAATCTCCATCTGGAAAACCGACACAAGTCACATGTACACAAGATGCTTCCACAACATATCCGTTCAACTTTCACATACCTCAAACAGCTGAAGAATAAACCGGTTATTAATGATATTCCATACGTCGTCGGACGTAACACCTACGAATTTTTATAGGATCGGACTGTTGAAACAGGTTCTGGGAAACTTTCGTCTTCATACACTAGACAAATTATGGAAAGCATCGTGGAGGAGTGGTGCACTTTGAATATGACAGCCTTATGTCGGAAGCTTTTACAATCGAAACCACGTTGAGGGGATATTGTCAAGAGTCACGGTCTTCAGATAGAGTATGACTGGACGTGGCCACATGGACTGCTAGGATTTGTAAGGCTCCAAAATCGTTTTAATGTAACACACTCAACTCTGTAAGATTAATGATTGTACCTTTATATAATAATAAAACTTAAAAATTCACAAAATTGGATGTTCTAATGAATTAAATGTTTGGACGAAATATTCACGTATGTGTATGTAAAAACGATCACTAGTAGATTCTTTAACTTTTCTTATCTCCGCTACTTTCTACATGGCGCACTCTGTTTTTTGCTATAGAAAGATATGTCCATTTTTCAATTACCCCATGTTTTGTTTTTCTCTGATCTCTTAAATCCTCTCTGAATAACTAACAATCGTCAGGATGAAACGGATAGTGAATTATCAATGTTTCTTGTTAATGGAATTGAAACTATCTGTATGTACGTATGTATATGTGGATATGCATGCACTATCTAGGTATATTGTACGTGTTTGTGTATGTGTCTATCTATGTATGTTCTTGATTTTATTATTTTGAATACGTGTGGAATCTGAATTGTGGCCGAATTCGCACTAGCTTCCAGGCTATAAGGGACTAAAACCAATACCCAAATCCTAAACCCACACAAAATACAGTTAGTGACCGTACATGTTGCGCAATACAATATCTGACTTCTCAGTTCCGTAAAGCCGTCTTCTCTGCGATTTAGGCGAGTTACCTCGATAGAGATGGCCAAGGAAGATTCAACAAAGCTTATTTTCTGCTGTAATATACCCCCCCCCCCACTACACACACACAGTGGCACAGCGGTATGTCTGCGGACTTACAACGCCAGAAACTGGGTTTTGATACCTATGGTGAGCACAAATAGCACAAAAAGCACAAATAACCCCTTGTGTAGCTTTGTGCTTAATTACAAACAAACCGCTGTAAAGTGGCTAAGTGCTGTACCCTGCCTTAACATGAGCACTTTCTGCTATTTTGTGCAATAGGAACACCCACTCAGACAACCCCCTAACCACCGCCTCTTCCTGGCTGAACCCTATTTAGAAGTGAGCTCTTTTGGCAGTAGAATGTTTTTTTTTAGGTTAACAAATCGAGCCCTTTATCGGAGTCTTACTTTTCTTTTTTCTAGCTCGAATACCAGAACCAATGACACCCTCTGTGGCCCACCTAATATCTCGAATTCAGCCTCGTTGACTCGAAGACTTGGTATTAAGTTATGTTAAAACAAACAACATAAAAAAAGCAGAACAAGATTCTAAAGAAGTTCTCTAATATTAGTTTCAAAGCGTACCGACAGGTAGCAGTACTCCATACATAAAATTTATCGCTTTTACACAACTGTTAGTGCTGCAATGGTAAGCAAGTCTTTTTTTTTTCTTTTTCGTGACTTCGTTTTTTTACTTATGTGTTTGCGTCTCATTTAACCTAAAGTTCTATAAGGATGTTCACATTTTAAGAAAAATGTTTAAACTTCGTCCATAAACTGTACGAAGGTGCCCTCAACAACGTGTAAAAACAGTTTTGGATACAAGCCGATCAACAGCAGCTGTCGCCAGGGGGATCTGATTCTTGGCAGTTCATCCCAACTTTTTTCAGGGTAAGATCGTGTAAGCAAATTTACGCGGGTAACAGAGAGAAAACTGATGACTCCTTTATCCTATGTTGCTAGGCGACTTCTAACACTGATCAAACCGCTTGCCGAACTATACTTTATGATTGAAGGGAGGATTAAAATAACGTTGAAACAGTAAGCTAAAAACATTGAAACTGAAAAAAAAATACAGATTAAGAAAAACTTGATTTCTGTACAATGAAATATCCGATTAAGTTTTTTTTTTCAATTTCGAACGTCATAAATGAGATCCAATCTAGTGATAGAATATCCACGTGACCCTTGTAACTAAGATACTACTAGGCGCACGTTGTAATACAACGTTCTTCACCGCATACAACTGAATGATGCTTGTTTGTTTGTTATGAAGCACAAAGCTACACAAAGGGCTATCTGTGCTATCCCACCACGGGTATCGAAACCGAATTTTTATCGTTATAAGCTCACAGACTTATCGTTAAGCCACTAGGTGACACTAAATAACACCACACCTTCCTAGTAGAAGGTAAGGTGTCTTCTTTAGCAAGTCGTCTAAAAAACGTCATTTGGAAGTGGAATATTTCTTAGTCGTTGAACTTAATAAAATGACCAGGAGTGGCTTAGTAGTTAGTGGACCGGACTGTGAATCACAAAGTCCAAGTTTTGAGTCGAAATATTCCGCAGGCCACGATCCATACTTTCAACTGTGAGCACATTATCAAAGTTAAGTCCACTATTTGAGAAAGAATAGTAGTGTGGGTGGAAGGTACTATCGACTAGTTTCCTTCCTTCTGGTCTCCAGTTTACAATTAGAAAGTGACTCCACCTGAACTTTGAGGCCTGACCATTTAACCCAAATATCGCATAATTTATCGAATTGGTAAAATAGCCTAATGAAATCTTATTTTATAAACTGTAATTAAGAATTAGTTATTATGTGAAAGACAGCGAGCATCCGTGAGAAGTAATTATATGTTGATCTCAACAAAAGTCATTCTTAAAATGTCCGTATAGATAAATGTCAAAAGAAATTTATTATTTTTAGGCTTAGAATATAGTTCCAAAAACAAATAAGGGGCGGCGCTACTATACAAATGAAAACCTCATGGTTTCTCAGATTTGATTGTTTGTGGTTAAGCACAAAAATACACAAATAGCTATCTGTGTTCTGCCCACCACGAATATCGAAACCCGGTTTCTAGCGTTTTAAGACCGCAGACATATCGCTATGCCACTGGGGGACAGGTTTCTCAGCAGGTGCGTGTATTTGAAAACCGAAAAAAAAAAGTGAAAAAGACAAAATCTAGTGTAAGAATGACTAAAAACACCATCATCAAAGTCAACACAATTTAGTGTAAGAAGGATTAAATATATTAAAATTGACAACACTCACGATACTAAAACTGACAACAGTGCACGGTATTAATACTGACAACAATGTACGGTATTAAAACTGACAACAATGTACGGTATTAATACTGACAACAGTGCACGGTATTAATACTGACAACAGTGCACGGTATTAAAACTGACAACAATGTACGGTATTAAAACTGACAACAATGTACGGTATTAAAACTGACAGCAAAGCACGGTATTAAAACTGACAACAATGTACGGTATTAAAACAGACAACAATGTACGGTATTAAAACTGACAACAATGTACGGTATTAAAACTAACAATAGTGCACGGTATTAAAACTGACAATAATGTACGGTATTAAAACTGACAACAGTGCACGGTATTAAAACTGACAACAATGTACGGTATTAAAACTGACAACAATGCACGGTATTAAAAATGAAAACAATGCACGATATTAAAACTGACAACAATGCACGGTATTAAAACTGACAACAGTGAACTGAGAAGAGCTACACTTATTTAGACTTCAATACTTATACTGAACTAAAAAGATCATTTTTTTATCATATTCTTAACATGCCTCTTTGTTGTTGTGAGCTGATAACTCTAAATATTGGGGTTCGATACTCGTGCTG